ATTACAAAGTTTGTTAAAAAAAGCAAGATCTTGAGGGAGTACTTAATTAATAAATAGTTTTATAACTTATTTCCCAAGGATATCTCAATATAAATGAATATCTTTCATCAGTCAAAATTCTTCTGAAGTAAAGAATCAAAGTCAAATATTTTCACAGTATTTCTTTAACTTCACCATTTCACCTTGTAATTAAGACATGAAGTTAACTCACTTGCTAGCCTGCCCCTGGGGGTCAATGAGCAGAGGCCACTTTCTCCCCTTCTTCACAAAGATGGCATTCTCTGTGGACAATGTGTCTGTTGGGAGACCTTCATTTTGCCACTGAAGGACCTGAATATCAATAGTAAAATCAACCATTACAGTTAAACCATTTATTTATAAATGCCTGGAGACAAGTGTGACTAATTTTTCAACATTTTGTTCTATGTCCAGCATACACTTCTTCTTATTGAACTGCGAAGGCCTTTTTGATTTCAAAGTAATCTGAATTACAATTATCATTCAACAGAAATTATAATAAAAATTAATATCATAAAATAAATAAAAAGCTAATAGGTGGACTTCCCACAATGTCATTTATATTTACAGCATAATTTAAAAAACGAAAAAAAAAGTAACACCATTTTTATGTGCAAACAAACCTGGTTGGCATCAGCAATAATCTTGACCAGCTCATATTCCTCAGAAATAGGTATTTCTGCCACCCTGCATCTTTCCTCCCATTTCAGAATCAGCTCCCTCCTGTACTTGGCTGTGAAGGCCCCCAGGTATGCCACGGCAGCCGCGGATACCAGGGTGTCCCCCACCAGACCTTGGAGCTTGAAATCCAGGACCTTCACTGACTCAGCCCACCTCACCTGGAACAGAAAATTTTATCATCCATGACCAAAAAAAAAGACCAAAAAAAAATGATAATAACACACTTCAATAGGTACTAAGTAGATTGTCATTCTGAAACTATATCTGGAGAAGTTTCCTAGGTAACCCCAACAATTACCCAATAGTCTCAATTCTGGAACCATTGAAGAGTGTGCACATATAGATAAATTATCCTATCCTAACTAAAAAGTCAGAGAAAAGTAATTGCCTTATATAGCATATTTAATCATGCATAGATCTACTTCTTTTACTGAGCTTCTTCAGTTATAACAAAGTTTAAGACAATATAAAAATGTTTTGAAGGGTAACAGTATTGTGTTACAGCTANACACGCTAGTCATGCCCTGCAATGTGAGGGTCACGCTGTCGAGATCGCCCGGTAAACTGTTCAGGTAAAATTTAAGTAATGCTCGGCAAATCCATAGTGAAATAAGTCAATCAAGTTGTCTAGCGAGATATATGATGCAAGCACGTTCCACAAGGTTATAATTAACTGAAACGATCTTAATAGCTGATTCAACGAGCCACACGTCGTTTACCGGATTACATAACAAGCAAAGATAAAGTGGTGTTGGCGTCCCGCTGCGGCTTCAACAGCTTATTTTGACAAGGCTCGCGCTACGTGCTGGCTTGAGAAAAACATCATTGTTAAACCTTAGTGTCGATGCGTTAATTACTTATGGTCGCATTGTCTTCTTCCCACGGCGACCATTCATAAAAAGGGGGCGTAGTTAGGTATTAGACGAATTTTTTAATCACCCAACGCGTTAGTGGTGCGTTGTCCTCTGACATAATCCGTTACCTGTAGCATTATGAGTTATAACAAAGTTTAAGATGCTGTCACAGTGTTTTTACCTTCTCGTCTGCCAGAGCGGAGATGAGCACAGAAGCCCTCTGTATCCTGAGAGCTGTGGTCTTCTTCCTCTCCTTCAGAGACTCTCTCTGGTTCACGCTGTCCTGGTACTGCTGCTGGAGGAGCTTTAGGTGGTCTTGAATCTACGCAAATAATGTAATTTTATAAGATATTTTTCGTAATCATAGCATTATTATTGTGTGGTAACAAGGAGTGGAGAGTTTGAAACATGAGAAATAAGTTTAAAAACTAAATGACAGTAAACTGATCAGTTACAGAGGTTATCAAGATGAATGAAGAAAGTGATGGATATAAATTTAAATATATTTAAAACTGGGGAATGAGAACAGAAAAATGTGCGAGACATCAATCAACAAAGTGGATACAGACATCAGCACCCTGCACAGTCATAATATTTTTTCTTCATGGTTGAAGATTTGAAGATTTGTTTTCTTCGTATAGTATTGAACTGCTTTGCAGGACTTTGACGTATACTATTCATCATTTCAGTTATTCTAGGCAATACTCACCATAAATTTATGATTTAATATATTTCTCTAAATTTAAGGACCTTTGATATAACTCTACTTCTATCTTTTGCTAAAAGCACTCACTCCTATGAGTCAAACAATTTCTTACTTTTGATAAGCTAGACTGTTTCTGTGCTAAATTCTTCTGTGCCAGATGCAGTGCTTCTTTGGCCTCTTCTACCCTCCTCTGCTTAGGTTTGACCATCTGAAACACGAGGAAAAAATATATAAAAACAGAGAAATTAAGCAAAAGACCACTTGTACCGATAACACCACCAGGCACATGATTGCCACTCACTTCCTTCTTCTGAAGAAAACAGAAATTCTGGCTTATTATTCATGGTTGTTTAATCAAATTTCTATTAATAGCAACAGCAGAAGAAACAGAAGTTTTCCAGAATTTAAAAACACATCAACTCTATTAACACAACCTCATGTATTTCTCTGTCAGTTTTTTCAAAACACGCCCGAATGAGAAGATATTTCAGATGATATATCAACATCAAATCTATAGACCTGGAAGCACTTGTTGACCTCACCTTATACACTTCATTATACCTCTCCAGGGCCAGCACCCACTCACACATGGACTTACAGGCCACTGACACTGTGCCCACCTTGTCTGGGGTGAAGTCTGCATGCTTTGTGTACTTCTTTAGTTTGTTATAAACCTACAATATATAGTGTTGTGTGAAAACAGATAAATAACAAGTTTATATTTTCATTTTTCCTGTTTTGGCTTAAATCACTGCTGTCAATTAAATGTCAAAAGAATTTTTTTAAAAAATGCAAATAAAGAACAAGTGAAATGTTGCACAATATCTTTAACAGGTATTAATTCCCAAATTAAAATTCCCAAATACAAGCCACTTACTAATAAAACCATCACAAGAATCTAATATAAAAGGATTACATTTTTCATCTTAAAAACAATGTTCTTTGTAACAGATAAAAATCCCACATAAAAAGGAGTAAAATATCATAATATACCTTATCAGGTAGATTATTCTTATCAAACTGGACCAGCCTCTTGAGAAATCCCGCATCCCCAAGCACCTGTTTAGCTGTGGCCCAGTCTGGTTTCTGCTGCAGTAACACGCACACGGACGCCATGACAGTCATGACCAGCTCGGGAGGGTTGGTGTACACACGGATCTCAGCAACGTCTGATTTGTCCAAGGAGTCCAGGGAGCCGATGGCTGTCTGCAGGGCCGGGATTACAGAGTTCAGGTCTTGCTGACATTCCTAAAGAGAAAAAAGGCTGTGGTTTAAGAGAACAT